AAATAATGAGAGACTGCTTGAAGGATAAGTAGAAAAAGAGAACCAGCTTCCCCACACTGTCCTCTGATCTACAAACGTGTGCCAAATGTGTTTGGCTAGGGTGGATGAGTTCTGAGAACTGGTGGTGGATCCTAGACACGGCAGGTCTAGCAATCACTAACATCAGACACTTAGAACTCAGTTCCCCAGAGATGGGGATTCTCACTCTGTCTGAGAAGGCAAGAGTTCAGGTTCATCTCTGATGTGTTCTGCATCTGCAAGAGACTTAGAGAGAAGAGATATTTTAGTATTTAAGATTTAATATTGCTATATTTTTGAAAATATTCATTTAAGCTTTAGCATTTATTACATCTTCCTTTAAATTTCTCTTACTATGAAGAAGGGAGGAGTGTGTGTGTGTGTGTGTGTGTGTGTGTGTGTGTGTGTGTGTGTGTTTGTGTGTGTTGGGGGCTACTTGGCATTATTAAGATACATTAACCAAAGTATGAACAGACCTGATCCAGCCCCCTTTCCAGCCAGTGTTGATCTGCCTTTTTTTTTTACCACCCTTCTGTCAAGATGTACACTTTGTCGACAAATGATCACACTTTGATATATTTTGTTGTTTTCCTTATTCATGTTTATGTTTATCCTTCCAGACATAAATGTGTCCCGGGGATATTGGTGGTGTGTTAAGAGGAAAGCAAGAGACTTGTGTAGGGAGAGACCACTTAATTAAATGAGAAACTTTATAGCACATGCTTATGCAAAAAGAAACCTCTAGGTTTGGGTGCCTCCTGAACAAATTGGGGCAAACCTAAATGTATTTCTCAGAGCCAAGATATCATGGTTATTTCCTCCCTCCCTTCCTCCCTCGTTCCCTCCCTCCCTCCCTTCCTTCCTTTCCTTTTCTTTTTTTTTTTAAAAAAAAACACAGAATGCATGTTACACACATATATCTGCAGTGCATAATGCTACAGATGCATAGGAAACAACTGATAGATTGACAAATTTAACACATGCCTGTTTTAGCATCCAGTAGAAATAACAAGTTTTGTATGTGGAGCTAAGAATTAAACCCAGAGTTTTATACATGCTAGGCAAGCACTCTACCACTGAGTTATTTCCTCAGCCCTAATTATAAAGTCTTAATATATTTTTTCAAGTTTGTTGATGCATAGAATTATAATGATAGACGTCCTCTGCTAGCAAAGCACACTTGCAATCAAGAATAAATTCTCATTCATACTTTATCCCTCAGAAACGCTAGTCACCGGAGCATGATGGATGCTGTGGTACCCTTCTAAGATTTCTCCATCAGTAGGAGACTTATTTCCCCAGCTGCCCAAGAGTTGGAGGCTGCTATGGTTCATAGCCAAGCTCCTGGGGAGGACTCAAAGTCTATGAGTAGTTCCAAGCTTTGATGCGTGCGACAGGACACTTCCAAGCTACTGTTGCGAGTTTATTGCTCACAATCAGCTTCTCTCCCTCCATCAAGGCTTGGCCACTTATATAATTCAAATACCAGGTATTTCTAAATGCAGTCCTCAGTAATCCTAGGGCATGAGCCTAACATGAGACAAAGATAGTTAACACTTTATTTTTAACATATTAGTTAAAAAATTTATATCTGCATTCTTAAGTGGGAAGGATCTTGCATATTCTTTTAAGTCCACATCACACCCTGGAACTAAAATTAATCTGTCTTCCTACAATGAGTTGAGGCGATACTTTCCCTGTGGCCTGGTAATATTTAAATCACACTGGAATTCTCTGTTCTTTAAAGATTAACCCCATCTGGTCTTCATTCCTTTTTCCACGATTCATTCCTTTTTCTTAATCATCACGCAGATGTCTTTGGTGATTGGTCATTTAAGTCATTTAGATTTTGGTAGGAAGTTGTTCACTTCCTCCGAGTTTTCAAGTTTGCAGCCATTGAACCGGAAGCCTCAATACCTGCTAGGTTTGGGGAACTCGTTGGTATCTGTGGGCTTGTTTCTTCATTCTAAATCCTGCACATTTTTTAAAAGTTGCCTCTCTTGTGTGCATTCTCTCTTTAATTAGGTTCATAGGGAGTTTATCGGCTTTATTGGTCTGGAAAAAAAAAGAAAGAAAAAAGAAAAAGAAAACTGGCCTTTGGATTTATTTGTTCTTTCTGCCTTGTTTTGGCTTTTCATTTTTAATGCACTAATTTCCATCTTTTACTGCAATTAATGCCATCTAGTTTATTTTAAGAGGTGAGTTCACTTTGAGTGTAGCTCATGTTGTTATAGTCTATGTTCTCCAGGATGTAATGTTACCTTTTATGCCTTTTGATTTATATAATAAATTTCCAAATGTTAAAACTTATAAGTTATACTTTTTCCCCCCAAAGTATGATTAAAGTAGACAACCTGAAAAAAACAACAACTATGTTTTCAGCAGAGCCAGGTGGGTCTCTGTGAGTTCCAGGATAGGCACCAAAGATACACAGAGAAACCTGTCTCAAAACCAAAACCAAACCAAACCAAAAAACAAAAAACAAAGAACTCTATGTTTTCTTCCTTCCAGCTTATAGTGCATTGAACTTTGCTTTTTGGCCAAATGCATGATTGATTTTGTATATGTGTCAGGAATTCACTTATTATTTACTAGAAGGGACGTAAGGGTCAGAATATATCTAATGAAAGAACTTAGTACTGATTTGTCTGCTGGATGTAGTCTACACTAGAAGAATTCTACTTAAGTCTCTTTCTGATCATATCTATTTTAATTCAAGTTCCCTACCCCATGTAAGTGTGTGTGTGTTCGAGCACACACCTGTGTATCTCCGTCTCTGAATAGGGTCTTGTATACAACCCAGGCTGGCCTCGAACTTGAGATCTTCCTCCCTTCACATCTCAAACATTGGGGTTACAGGTGCCTATCACCAGGCCTGGATGCTCTCCTTTCATTTCTGATCATAGTTTGCTTTATAGTTTTTACTGTCATGCTGGGCTGACTGTCCCCAATGTTTTGGGACTTGTGCCATCAAGGTTCACATCACTTACTCTTAGCATTTTTGTTCTTAGAAACTACTTGTCACCTACCATTGGAAATTCTTCATTCCCTGTACTCTGAAGGAGAAAGCTTCTCTTAGGCTATTGCCTGTTTTTGCTACACAGCAGTTGGAAAGAAATCATTGACAGCTGTCAGACTGGCAAGTAAAAGATACCTCAGGCTGCCTAGGTAAATTCCAGAAACCCTGGAATAAAAAAAAAAAATCTGGAGATTTGTTAATCTCCAGGAAGAAAAAAAAGCAATTAATATGCTTGTAAGATTGATAGTACATGATAAAAAGAAGAACCAATGGAGTTGGTTGATGTGTGGATAGAATGGAAAAATAGAGTAGACTACCTCCGTTAACAAATCACATGGATAGTAAGTTCATTAAACCGGAAAAATAAAACAGAAACAAGAAAGGATAGACAGGCAATAAGGGAGGGTAAAATGAAGTGTGTCAGTTGGCTTCCAAAATGACAAATAAAAGAAGAAAAAGGAGGAGGAGAAAGGGGGGATGGAAATATTATGCCAAGTGAGGCAGAACACACCTACACTCTTAGCACTTGGAAGATTAGAAGTTCAAGGTCATTCTCATGACATATGGAGTTCAAGGCACCCTGCCAAAAGCCACGATAAAACAAAACAAAAAAAAGGGACTAATTTCTTCCGTTAATAGTCACAGACTGCAAAACTAATTAAAAGATGAAGCCAAATTGTGGTGATAATGTGTTCCCCAATATATCGCGCACCCTAATAAACTTGTCTGGGGTCAGAGAACAGAACAGCCACTAGACAGACATAGAGGCCAGAAAATAGTGGCACTCACACCTTTAATCCTAGGATTCCAGAGGCAGAGATCTCTCTGGATCTCTGTGAGTTCAAAGCCACAATGGAAACAGCTAGGTGTGGTAACAAGAGCCTTTAATCCCAGGAAGTGATGGCAGAAAGGTATTTAAGGCATAAGGACGAGGAACCAGAGCCTGGTTAAACTCTTAGGCTTTTGAGCAGCATAGTTCAGCTGAGACCCATTTGGATGAGGACACAGAGGCTTCCAGTCTGAGGAAACAGGATCAGCTGAGGAACTGGCAAGGTGAGGTAGCTGTGGCTTGTTCTGCTTCTCTGATCTTTCATTGTTCACCCAATACCTGGCTCTGAGTTTGTTTTTATTAATAAGACCTTTTAAGATTTGTGCTACACCAAATCACAAACAACTTAGAACAAACTGGTGAAAACAGATTTAAAAACAAAAGGATAAACCAGGCATGGAGGTGTGCCCTTATAATCCTAGTACTGAGGATACTAACAAGGTAGCCTGGGCTACATAGCAAGACCCTATCTCCAACTAATAAAATCCAACTGACATTGATAGTATTAAAGGATAGCCAAAATATCAAACAAATGTACATGAAAAAGCAAGAGGGACATTAACATCGGAGACTGGTTTCAAGATAAAAGCATTGAAGAATAAATAAGGACCGTACATAACGATCAAAGACTCAATGTGATTGTGGTTGTTGCGTTTTGGAATGCTGAAAATCACCTAGACCAAAGATAAACACGAGAAAAGTGAAAGTATCCTAACCACAGATGGGAACGAAGGAAGAAAACGTGGTTGGCCATCCTAATAAAATCCGATTTTGAGCCTGTGGGCCAGCACTTGCCTGCTCGGTCTCTAGCCTGTAGAGCTTTCCTTCCTTCTGTTCTCAGTTTAATAATTCATTTCTCTCTCAGGGATTTCCTACTGCGTGTTATGTTTGCTAAGTTAATGCCCACACCCTCTTCCTAGTCTCACAATTTCACATGCCTGGACTTGGAGCTGGCTTTTTCTTCTTTTTGATAATGCAAAGATCAAACCCAGCACAGGATAAGCAAGTGCTCTTCAATGGCCTTGTCTCCAGCTATTAACCTTCTACAGCCTTTTAACACATTCTATGGCCTTTATAGTGGCCATCCTTTTAAATTCACAGCCTAAGTTGTTTCTTTCTGTCTAACCCTAACAGATATGGAAGTTGTGATGCTCCTGCCTCAACCTCCCAAGTGCTGGGATTTCGTGTCTGGTTTCTCACCTTTCTCTTGGAGCAGCTTATGATAGTGTGACAAATTTCAGATGCCCACAGTCAACCACCTGGATTGACAAAGCAGTAGCCAGAAGGTGGGCACATGAAGTACCAAAAGAAGCCTCCAGACTTTCAAATTTTTCCTATTTCCAACTTCAGGAAGAGGCGACTTGTTGGGTATGGCAGTAAATACTGGCAAGCTCAGGACTTGAGAGACAGATGCAAAGACAAGAGGTCAAAAGCTTGTGACCAGGAAAGGAACCATCTCAAAACACCAAAATAAGCAAATAAGTAAACAAATAAAATTCAAGTAAATAAAAACAAGTAAGACAAAATAATTCTAAAATATATATGTATGTATGAAGTATCATAATGAAATCTAGTATTTTGTACAATCAATTAATGCTAATAAAATGGGGAAGTAATTCTAAAATATAATTTAAAAATCTATGTAATAAGAACAGTGTTAATGATATAATTGCCAATAAAAAAGGAAGCACCAGGACTTGGTAAATTCATCCTGTGAGTTCTTATATTGGAGAGAGAAAATGCCTTGAGATGGAAATACTCACCTTTCCCCTGTGTGTGCTGGTCCCTGGGCCAAGCTCTTTCCAGTCTTCAGAGTTCTGACCTTTGTCCTTGAAGAGTCAACCAAATCTTGGGCTCTTGACCAGACCCAGGAAAGACTTCACATCATTCTGCATGGTGTGCTTCCAGAACCAAGGTCATGCTGACAGCCAAGCCCCACACTGAGTTAAATTGCATAAAAGGCATTAATTTTTATTAGAGTGAAAGAAAGAATATAGGCCATGTATAGTGGCACATATTTAGTCCCAGCATTTGGGAGGCAGAGGCAGAGGCAGAGGCAGAGGCAGAGGCAGAGGCAGAGGCAGAGGCAGAGGCAGAGGCAGAGGCAGAGGCAGAGGCAGAGGCAGAGGCAGAGGCAGAGGCAGAGGCAGAGGCAGAGGCAGAGGCAGAGGCAGAGGCAGAGGCAGAGGCAGAAGCAGGAGGATCTATGTGAGTTTGAAGCCAGCTTGGTCTACTGTGTGAGCTCCAGGCAAGGTAGGATTTTATAGTGAGACCATGTTTCAAAACAAAACAAAAAACAGGAATATTTTTGTTTGATTTCCTACCTTCTTCTTCTGTTTTAATCCTATGTTGTTTTATTGTTGTTTTTTTTTTTTTTTTGAGGGGGGCATCCCACTCTCGTACGATCTCCTCTGAAGTGACTCGTGATTACCTGTTTATTCTTTTGAACTGTCAGTGGTCTCAGAGTAAACTGGTCAGGAAGCCCACTGTTGTTGCTCATGATGGTTTAAAGATTCAGCTACTTTAACTGGACGTCCTCATTTTGAGTAGTTGCCTTAACACTTAATTGGCTTATATTAAATAACTTTAAATCACTAATCATTATGTTTAATCACTTAAAATAATAATTTATACACAGATCATAATACACGTTTCTTTAAGAAATTAAATTACTTAAGACATGACTTAGATATATACATACATATATATATTTATGAATATATACACCACACATAGATATTGAAGTTGACAGATTTAACCCAAAACAACAGCACCCAAGATGTGCATTTAAATTTCAATTGTAGATAAACATAATTTTTAGTATGAAAATGACTTATGCTGTAATAACAATAATTGTTTGCATAAACTTTAAAATAGACAACCTTTATTTTACTTATCAACCTGGAAGTTTTTAAATAAAGACATGCAAATGAACATACTGATATCATATAGGTTTGTTGGAAGAGAGAGAAAAGAGAAGATTGGCAACCAGTCCAACTTGTTTTGAGACATTTTAAGGTAAGATCATGGATGCCATGCTTTATGATGAAGACAAAATTCTGCTAACAATAAACTGCATGAAGTTATGGGATGCTCTCTCTGCTCCCTGATATATCTCTACCATTTATTACAGTGTTTGGCACAAGCTGTTTGCAGTGATAGTTTCTAAATTGAATGAACCATTTATTTTTCTGAATCCTAGACACTGGGTGACACCTCAAATGCAAGCAATAATATATTTGCGACTAAAATGTGAAGATTTAAATTTAACGGAAACACCTATCCATCACTTTTATCTGTTGCTGTTTTTACTGGCATTTCATCATAAGGAGACTTTGCCTGATAAGAGTTTCAAAACTGTCTGTGAGGCAGAGCTTACTCATATATTTGTTTCTGGATGTGTACTATTACTTTCCAAGAAAATTTTGTTTGAGATAGGTCATGTTCTGGTGATGTTCCTTATCGTGTGCACGGTCATATGTAACATCCGAATCACAGGTTCTTATAATTAATGCTCAGCTATTTACTACTTAGATGCAGTGATTTGTGGAGTGATTGCTTATGGGAACTCTTCTACATACCTGAAGTTTTATCTTTGGGACAAGTAAAAGAACGAATGACCTTAGCTCTCCTATTGCTTAGACTAGCAGCTCTCAAGCTGTGGTTGCAACCCCTTTGACAAATCTCTAGTTCCGAAAATATTTACATTACGATTAATGACAGTAGCAAAGTTACAGTTATGAAGTAGCAACAAAAGTAACTTTATAATTGGAGTCACCACAATATGAGGAACTGTATTAAAAGGTCATGGCACCAAGAAGATTGAGAAGTCATGGTTTAGTCTCTTGAATCCTGCCTTCCCTAAGTTATGCTTCAGTATTATGTCTGCCATGATGGACTAACAATGTGGTCAGTTCTGGATACTTGATACCCGATGACAATTTGCCCTCAAGGTTATAACTTCAAGCAGAGCAGGGTATTTTTTTCTCTAATAAAATAACAAATGCAGCCAAGATAGTTCCAAAATTAGTCAGTCTATTACAGTAAACACAAAAGCAAGATATGCAAAAATAAACAAAATAAAAACATGATACTCTAGGCCATGATAAATAGGAGAAAATCACTAGGGCCCAGGGTACAAGTCATGAGTCTCACACTGTGTGTCCAGAGAAGAAGTCATCCATATGGTTTGGGAGTCTAGTCTCTTTGGCGTGAACTGGAGTAAGTCTGGAATGGAGTCAGGTTCTCAACATTGAAGGTTCTGGTCCCCCAGCAGCACCGGTGGCAGCTGAGGCTGTTTAGAGTGAATACTCACAGGAGTCTATATACATCTTCAGACTGGCAATTAGAGTTCTGGAAGGTGTGTTGCCTCAGCTTAGATATCGACCTGCTCAAATATGAGTTTGCCCCCATCCCTGATTCATACCAGTGTCTTTCCAGTCTGTGTTGGCTGTTCTGGTTCCTTTACAAGACCACATCAGTTTCAGAACTAGCCCGTTGATTTAACAAAGAGCTGAAGATTTTGTCAAGGATGACATTAACTCTATAGACCAGTTTGCAAAAGGATTGTCAGTGGCTGAGGAAGACTGTTGCAATTGTGTCTATCTAGGGGATGCCCAGTTCTATTAAAACCAAGACTCACGGGGAGAACAATATAGAATATATACAGAATTGGGAGAGAAAATATAAGTTCTCTCCTTTAAGAATTGTGAGATCCCTCCCCCCAAAATTCTTGAACTGCAATAAACTACACAATTTATGGCTCTCTGAGTGCCTAGGGGGCTATGTGTGGGAAGATACTGGCCTGGGTGGCTCTCTGTGAGTAGAGACCCTTTGGATACTCTCTTTTTAAAGGCAAATCTTTTGAGTTTTCAGTTTTATATCTTGGCTGTTTCTATAGTCCTTATAATGCCTGGAAGACACCTTTCCTACAGTTTCAGTTGAAATTACGGAATGAAGCATTATTCTCCCAGGGAAATCACTGATCTGTCGCAAGTGTCACTCTGAGTCATTAAAATGCAAATTTCTAGTGCGCCTTCCTGGTGGTAGGATGACCCTCCTAGTGTGTTTTCTTTTTTCCTATTCAACTGTGTGCTACCTTGACTGACAAAGAGCAAAGCAGCCTATATTTACTTTTTGGCTAGCCTCAGGTATACAGATGCATTTAACAAGCACTAATCAGCAATGCCAGTGAGTCTCGGGCTTTGATAGAACAACGGGCGTCCACTAGATAGACACAGTTGCAACAGACAGCATCAACAATTAATGTTCGTTTTTCAAACTGATCTGTAGAGAAACTGAAAAAAAAAAAAAAAGCAAAATTGAAGAGCAACGACGACCAATTAATTTCAAATCTTTTCAACTAAACTGATGCAGACAAGGCACCATTCACACCACAGTAGAAATGTAGATCCATGCAACACAAGAGAGAATCTAGAAGTTGGTGTGCTTGTTTGTGAACATTGTGTTTTTCAACCAAGGTGTGAACTGCATCCATCCTACCTGATCAATTAGATTTTTGTAACTCACTGCTATATAATAGGTTCATATACCTCATCCATTGAGTATATTTCCTAACAGATTTTTTTATGACACAAAAAAGAGATGTCTTTGAATGGCCCTAAACCAGGTGATTCACCAAATCATATTTTATTTTATATCTTAATGACAGAAAATAGAACTTTTTAGAAGTCTGGGGACCTTTGCAGTCTAATGAAAATGGAAGGTGTGTATGACAGTTTGAAAGAAAATGGTCCCCAAAGGGAGTGTCACTATTAGGAGGTGTGGCCTTGTTGGAGTAGGTGTGGTCTTATTGGAGGAAGTGTGTCACTGTGGGGGCAGGCTTTGAGGTCTCTTTTCTCAAGCTTCACTCAGTGTGACTGTCAGTCGACCGACTTCCTGTTGCCTGCAAGATGTAGCACGCTCAACTCCAGCACCACATCTGCCTGCACATTGCCATGCTTCCCTTCATGATCATAATGGACTAACCTCTGAAACTGCAAATGAGCCACACTCAATTGAATGGTTTTTTTTTTTTTTTTTTGTAAGAGTTGCCATGGTCATGGTGTCTCTTTACGGCAATAGTAAACCCTAACTAAGACAGTGTGGCAAACAAAAATCATAAGCTAAGGAAGTATGCATGCACACTGGTGAACTGGTGTGTCTGATGGTTAGTTGCCTCATAGTTTCGGCTTGTCCTCCTTCAATGATACAAGGCACCTTAGCTAACAGAGTCATTCCCCAGGTTCCTTTATGCCTCTATGTGGCTCTTTCATTAAGCTTGTTA